ATGATTACTCACATTTCCGAGTGTATCACTCTCTATCTTTCCTTGCCCCCCCCCCCCTTTGTCCTTCCCGCTCATCACCACCTACGACATGCATTTTATAAACTAATCTTTTTAAATTTGATCTACCCACTAACCACCACAAAAAACAAAAAACAAAAACCAACCCCATGTTCACTTTAAAGAAACCCTTCACTTCTCAGTACCTCGTCTCCTCTTTGCTTACAGATCGGGCTTTCAAGAGCTGCTCCTCTAATGGGACTTGGCGCCACGCCCCGGGCATTCAGAACGAATGGACAGACTACACCCAATGTAACAACTACGAGGTGAGCTCATTACGCCTTCCTTTCTTTGTGGGGTATCTTGTCGTCAGCGCGCTGTCCGCTGTTAGCGAGGTGACTCTAAGCGACGGTGACAGTACACAACAAAAAAAAACAACAAAAAAAACAAAAAAAAGGCCAAGTTTCTATGGTGACCGCAGAGTAAAGGGGTGGGTGGAAGGCAGGGACGTCGTTTGGGTAGGACATGGAGGAGCATTTGCCCCCCCCCTCCCCCACACACACTCCCTGATTGTGTCAATTTTTTTCCCAACTAGATATCAGTATCTAGGAAAGCAGATCATCAAACGTAGCAGAAAATAAGTAAGGAAAAAATATTCATTTCTTTAAAATTAACAATAGAAAACATAAATGACAATCTGGCCATTCTTATTAAAATGGCTGTGTACTGTGACGCCTCCAGTAATAAACAACTCTACAAGCTGTCCAAGTTTTGGTTTCGATTTCCTGTAAACAAAAACAACCTGAAATGACGTCCTTGGTGTTGGATCGAGGAGGTGTTCTGGTGTGCGCTTTTTATTCTGAACTTTTAGACTCTAGATGGATCTTATCATTAAAGTCCAGCTATTCAAAGCGGGAAGAACATTAATTAAATTTGAGAACTGGGGCCTGGATTAACTGGTTTGTTCTGGGTAGATTCTCCTGAGGGCACATATTTGGCAACGGTATTCTTAAGATTTTTTACGGTAAAGATGGAGAGGGAAAAAAAATGTGTTTAGGAACAATTGAATCTCATGTAAACGTCCGATATAATTGTGAGTATCGTGCTATACAAGAGGTCAATTTTCGTGTCAACTGTATATGACCAGAGGCGGATCCGGCAGGCGACAACCAGGGACTTGCTCCCTGGTAGGAAACTATTTACGACAGTAAATTATATTGTGTCTTGGAAGCCACAATATTATTTATTGTCAGTGCCGATTTATTGTAATTTCTACCGTATTTTCGCGGATATAAAACGCACCCGCATATAAGACGCACCCGCATATAAGACGCACCCGCATATAAGACGCACCCACATATAAGACGAACCCGCATATAAGACGCACCCGCACATAAGACGCACCTAATTATAATACGCACCGGCATATAAGACACACCAAATTATAAGACGCACCGGCATATAAGACGCACCCGCATATAAGACGCACCCGCATATAAGACGCACCCGCACATAAGACGCACCCGCATATAAGACTCACCCGCATATAAGACGCACCCGCATATAAGACGCACCCGCATATAAGACGCACCCGCATATAAGACGCACCCGCATATAAGACGCACCCGCATATAAGACGCACCCGCATATAAGACGCACCCGCATATAAGACGCACCCGCATATAAGACGCACCCGCATATAAGACGCACCCGCATATAAGACGCACCCGCATATAAGACGCACCCGCATATAAGACGCACCCGCATATAAGACGCACCCGCATATAAGACGCACCCGCATATAAGACGCACCCGCATATAAGACGCACCCGCATATAAGACGCACCCGCATATAAGACGCACCCGCATATAAGACGCACCCGCATATAAGACGCACCCGCATATAAGACGCACCCGCATATAAGACGCACCCACATATAAGACGCACCCACATATAAGACGAACCCGCATATAAGACGCACCCGCACATAAGACGCACCTAATTATAATACGCACCGGCATATAAGACACACCAAATTATAAGACGCACCGGCATATAAGACACACCAAATTATAAGACGCACCGGCATATAAGACGCACTTAATTATAAGACGCACCGGCATATAAGACGCACCTAATTAGAAGACGCACCGGAATATAAGACACCAAATTATAAGACGCACCGGCATATAAGACACGCCAAATTATTAAGACGCACCGGCATATAAGACACACCAAATTATAAGACGCACCGGCATATAAGACTCACCAAATTATAAGACGCACAGGCATATAAGACACATCAAATTATTAAGACGCACCGGCATATAAGACACACCAAATAATAAGACGCACCCGCATATAAGACGCGGGTTTTGACGAATTGCGTCAAAAATATTTTGCATAAGACGCACCTATAGAAAAGCCGCACCGAGCAAGTTATATCAAGTTGTTTCCTTTCCTATATCAGGAATGAAAATTGAAATGTCTCCAATGTTTTATCACCCGTCGGATGTAAGCAAGGATTCTTTACCATTTTGAGTTTGTGGGTAGATCAAAGAATTGTTTGAGGCAACGATTACGTGTTGATTCTCATCTGCCGCCGGGCCAGTAGCGGATGAGTTGAGTACTTGGAATACACTAGTATCCAGAATCCAGAAACAATTAACGCCAGAAGTAAAGGCGGATGTATAAGACATAGATACCTAATTATAAGATGAACCACATACAAAACACAGGTTTTGACAATTTGGGTCAAAAATATTTTAAATAAGACGCACCTATAGATAAGACGCACCTATAGATAAGACGCACCTATAGATAAGACGCACCTATAGATAAGACGCACCTATAGATAAAAAGCACCTATAGATAAGACGCACCTATAAATCAGACACACCTATAGATAAGACGCACCTATAGATAAGACGCACCTATAGATAAGATGCACCTATAGATAAGACGCACCTATAGATAAGACGCACCTATAGATAAGACGCACCTATAGATAAGACGCACCTATAGATAAGACGCACCTATAGATAAGACGCACCTATAGATAAGACGCACCTATAGATATGACGCGCCTATAGATAAGACGCACCTATCGATAAGACGCAACTATCGATAAGACGCACCTATAGATACAACACACCATAGATAAGACACACCTATAGATAAGACGCACCTATAGATAAGACGCACCTATAGATAAGACGCACCTATAGATAAGACGCACCTATAGATAAGACGCACCTATAAATAAGACGCACCTATAGATAAGACGCACCTATAAATCAGACGCACCTATAGATAAGACACACCTATAGATAAGACGCATCTATAAATAAGACGCACCTATAGATAAGACACACCTATAGATAAGACGCACCTATAAATAAGACGCACCTATAAATAAGACGCACCTATAGATAAGACGCACCTATAGATATGACGCACCTATAGATAAGACGCACCTATAGATAAGACGCACCTATAAATCAGACACACCTATAGATAAGACGCACCTATAGATAAGATGCACCTTTAGATAAGACGCACCTATAGATAAGACGCACCTATAGATAAGACGCACCTATAGATAAGACGCACCTATAGATAAGACGCACCTATAGATAAGACGCACCTATAGATAAGACGCACCTATAGATAAGACGCACCTATAGATAAGACGCACCTATAGATAAGACGCACCTATAGATAAGACGCACCTATAGATAAGACGCACCTATAGATAAGACGCACCTATAGATAAGACGCACCTATAGATAAGACGCACCTATAGATAAGACGCACCTATAGATAAGACGCACCTATAGATAAGACGCACCTATAGATAAGACGCACCTATAGATAAGACGCACCTATAGATAAGACGCACCTATAGATAAGACGCACCTATAGATAAGACGCACCTATAGATAAGACGCACCTATAGATAAGACGCACCTATAGATAAGACGCACCTATAGATAAGACGCACCTATAGATAAGACGCACCTATAGATAAGACGCACCTATAGATAAGACGCACCTATAGATAAGACGCACCTATAGATAAGACGCACCTATAGATAAGACGCACCTATAGATAAGACGCACCTATAGATAAGACGCACCTATAGATAAGACGCACCTATAGATAAGACGCACCTATAGATAAGACGCACCTATAGATAAGACGCACCTATAGATAAGACGCACCTATAGATAAGACGCACCTATAGATAAGACGCACCTATAGATAAGACGCACCTATAGATAAGACGCACCTATAGATAAGACGCACCTATAGATAAGACGCACCTATAGATAAGACGCACCTATAAATAAGACGCACCTATAGATAAGACGCACCTATAAATAAGACGCACCTATAGATAAGACGCACCTATAGTTAAGACGCACCTATAAATAAGACGCACCTATAGATAAGACGCACCTATAGATAAGACGCACCTATAGATAAGACGCACCTATAGATAAGACGCACCTATAAATAAGACGCACCTATAAATAAGACGCACCTATAGATAAGACGCACCTATAAATCAGACGCACCTATAGATAAGACACACCTCTAGATAAGACGCACCTATAAATAAGACGCACCTATAGATAAGACACACCTATAGATAAGATGCACCTATTAATAAGACGCACCTATAGATAAGACGCACCTATAGATATGACGCACCTATAGATAAGACGCACCCTGTGTGCGGGGTACTTAAACTATTGTATAAGAGCCGTCTGATATACGCGAACATACGGTATGTGATCAATGTCATTGTTATGTCCTCTCTGTCATTGTGACTGGTGTCCTTACTGTCATTGTGGCTTGGGTCCTTACTGTCATTGTGCCTGGTGTCCTTACTGTCATTGTGACTGGTGTCCTTACTGTCATTGTGGCTTGTGTCCTTACTGTCATTGTGCCTGGTGTCCTTACTGTCATTGTGGCTTGTGTCCTTACTGTCATTGTTACTTGTGTACTTACTGTCATTGTCACTTGTGTCCTTACTGTCATTGTCACTTGTTTCCTTACTGTCATTGTGACTGGTGTCCTTACTGTCATTGTGGCTTGTGTCCTTACTGTCATTGTGCCTGGTGTCCTTTATGTCATTGTGGCTTGTGTCCTTACTGTCATTGTTACTTGTGTCCTTACTGTCATTGTGACTGGTGTCCTTACTGTCATTGTCACTTGTGTCCTTACTGTTATTGTTACGTGTATCCCTAATGTTACTGTTTATTGAACCCTTGTCAATATTTGTGCCACCCTTGTCAATATTTGCGCCACACTTGTCAATATTTGTGCCACACTTGTCAATATGTGTGCCACCCTTGTCAGTATGTGTGCCACCCTTGTCAATATGTATGCCCCTCATGCCATTTTTAGTGCCGCCTCTGTCAACATTGGCGCCACGCCTGTCATTATTTGAGCGACACTATCAATAGGAGCGTGCTGTTTGTAATTTGTTAAGAGCTAAGATCACTCTTACACTCTGCTCTTAGGTAATTGGAGAATCAGAGCCGCACCTTGGGTGTAACTACTACTCCTGGAAAAAAAATATTTGGGGGGGGAGCGGATTTAGCTATTCAAGGTGTCTAAAGTTATGATGTTTTTAAAGTAATGAAATTATTAACTTTGAAAAAAAAATAAGGGAGGGGTGGGGGTGTACACAAAACCTAAAAGTGGCACGGGGTTGGGGTGTCTCAGAGGGACGCGCAATTTCTCGGTTGACAATTGTTTATACATCAACTATTTGACTTATTGGGTCAATAGTATTTTAACCTAGTTCTTATCATTGCGTAGCTTTGTGGGATAACTTTAATGAGTGTTTAAACCCATATCTAAACGTATTTCCCCCCATCCAACCCCCGCCCACATTAAATTCTTGTTGCATCGAAAGTGCAGCTGTCACATTCATGTCTGCTGTTAATAAATAAATTTATCTAATTAGCCAGGTAGGAATACATTCTTTTTGGCTTTCCTAGTGTTCCATTTATTACATTTTTTTATCACGTCAGACATATTATAAAGAATCCTATCGTTAAACGAGTGATAAATGGTTTTAATCATCAGCAGTTAACAGGGGGTGTGGGTGGGTGGGGGGGGCATATTGATGTTCGCTTAAGAGTGTACAGTTACAGGTATTAACCCACTGCTTTTATTGTGCTGTTAAGAGACACTCATCCAGAAGATTCGGTACTATTTTTTCAGCCTTTTCCTAGCCTGTTACCAACAGTGATAATTGGATGTCAAGCAATAAAAAACAAAAAAAAAACAAAAAAAAAACAATCCGACTTGAGTAACTGTTCTCGTTAGATTCAATTGTTTCACATCCGGGCACAGGGGACTGACTGCGAACCAAATGGCTTGTCACACTCAATGACGAGCCAGATTCGTCTTGATGCATGACTGTGAATCTCCCGAATCTAGTGACACGATTGTGATACTTGAATTTTAAGTCTGGTGGAAGAGGAGTGGGGGGGGGGAGAGAGAGAAGGGAAGAAGATGCGTTTTCCCTCAAAGCGGATACGACGAAATGGGGAAAAACTGGTTTCCCGCTTAATACTTTCTCTGGACAACTTCAACAAGTGCAGAGTTACATACCTTTTTTTGTAGTAGTCGCCTGGTGGCGTTTTGAGATGTTCTTTTGGTAACTGAACATTTGGGTTTCGAACTTGGGATGTTAATATTTTTTGGTCTTTTTTCTTTAATTTTCCCCCCCTCTTTCCTTTATTCTAGCTCCTCAGCTTTAAGCATCTGTGATCCTGTCACAAATCGCCCTTTACAAACTGTAATACCCTCATTAAAAAAACCCACATAATTAATATAAATAAATCATAGCTCATTAAGTTTATTCAGAAACGGTGTTCTCATTTAAATATAACACTGCAAAAAAAAAAAAAAAATTACCCCCACCGAAAGGAAAAAAAACAAAGATTTGAGGACCGCTGGTCTGGCTGAACGCTTTGTTATTTTGTGCTCGCATAGCGTGTCTGTTCCTAGTGACTATTTTATGACCGTCTTGTGACTTTGCCGCCCGTAATAATTTCTTTCTCTCTCGTTCGCAGATTTACGGGGAGATTCACACCGCCTCGGTGGCTTGTAACGTCATAACGATGATCCTGCTGGTTCCGGCCTGCTTCATCTTCCTGTACTTCAAGTAGGTCATTCCCACCCCACCATACCCGCCCAAAACACAATTTTTTTTTACATAATCACCTCTTTTCCGGGGAGTTGGTGAGCAGGGCCCGTACGATTGAGCCATCTTAGAACTAGGGTAGAGCCATACATTTATGTACAAGGTGATCCGTCGCGTGGGCCTTTGCAGCCCGTGCGGCTAAGCGGGGCCTTAGGTACTGAAAGGTCCCAAGGATATGATGGTATGTAAAGTATTTGAACGTTGAACTGTTGCAAGGTGCACAAAACCGAAAATTAAGAGAGCGCCTCCAAAAAGGCGAGCGACGGCTCTGAGTATAGAATAAGGAAAATGGTACTTAAACACATATTCACGAAGCCTCCTGATTCTTCGACATGCCCCACCCCCCTCCCGAGCACAGTCCCAGTTTAAGCAACCCTTCCTCGTAGATGTAGCTTGACCTTTGAACTTTTATCTTAGAATGCTCAGGACATCGGCCTCTACCATTTTTTTTTCCTCCCCGCGATGTATGTCGACGCAATGAAGGAGGAAACTTGCCACGAGGAACAACTCATGTTCACAAAGTTGTCTAGACTGTATTATTTCAATGTCCATGCGTAAGATTGATATTTCTACCCAGTGGCTCCGATGATAATTTTCCAGTGATGCGATACATTGCTACACGGGTTTGTGATCAATTATTACCCTCCCCTTTCAAATTATCGGAAATGACTGCGATTTTATAGACGTCAAAAATTGTGCCGGAAGGTCACCACAGAAACGACACTGACCCCATGCCACTGACCCCATGTCACTGACCCCCTGCCTCTTTGGAATAATTCCCCCCCCCAAAAAAAAAAACACAAAAAAAAACAAACAAACAAACAAACAAAAAAACGTTTAATTAAATTCAGCTTGTGGAAGAAGTTAGTGTACAGAATGGACTGAAAGAATGAAGGTGTCATGGCGGTGACATGTATGATCTGATCAAATATAATTTTCACTTTGCGAATATGTAGCCTAATTCAAAGACCCATGAACCCTGGGTTTGCAGGACCGTGCGAAAGAATGAGGGAGATTCGAAGTGGGTGGCCGCTCCAGGCGACAGCCTCAAAGTGAGGGGGCGGCGCCAAAACATAAATTATTGTTGTATATAAATATATATATTTTTTATCATATATCATTGTATTGATTTATGGATGAAGCAAGCCCCGGGGGGGGGGAGGGGAGGGGATGTATTATCAGGCTTCACCCCTGGCGCAGCTTTTCCCTTACCTGGTCCTGCTGGGTCGTGACTTAAATTTAGCCTGCTGGGGATGGTCGACCCGGCACTACAACATAAACTGCTCAGAACAGGCGATAATCCTCACATGTTTGATGCTAGACAAACGACTTTTGAAACGGTCATACGGCAGCGAAAAAAAAAATGTTTCACGGTAAGCACTGGCCAAGCCCTGGTCAAGCACTGGCCAAGCACTGGCCAAGCACTGGTCAAGCACTGGTCTGAAAGAACTCTGTAAAATAAAACGTTGCTCAGGTGTCTGGATGGCTATTTGTCCAGCTACTATTTTTTGCACAGTTTCGTGGGTGCCTGCAACATCATCTTACCACTAACGAGTAGTCACTTCTTCATTTATGTTTAATTGTTTTAGTATGTGTTACAACCCGAGGGAGACGTTTGTGTCGTAGTTTGAAATCTCTTGTAGATAACTGGGTGTTTTTTTTTTTTCTTTCTGTCCATTCTAACCGGATTCTCTTCCTGGTTTTGGCATAGTTGGGCAATCAAAGCAAGATTTCATTTTTGTTCAGTGACGAAATTTCACCTTTACAATATAACGTGTTAAATAAGTTGCCTTCTAAAATGTTAAACACTCCATTATACGTCCATGCCGGGCTACGCGAGAAACTCTATCGCCGAATCTTAAACTTAAAGCGTTTATTTTATAGATTTTATGTAGAGAATATATATCCGTCTCATTTACAAATAGTTTATTAAGAATTGGCAGTCCACCCGCCACAGACAAGACACGCTACCTGAGAAGGCCATACAAATAGATGATTCGAAGACACATCCCGTCACCTCTCTTGAAATCCTTGACGTCACCCTTGATAAAACGTAATACGTAACGCATAGAAAATAACAAAATGAAAACGGCCCCTCCTTTTTGTAAATCCTAACCTCCCCCCCCCCCGCCCTAAAAAAAAATGTCCAGCCCTCGACAGTTCATTGATGAGAATTGATCTAAGTCATGAGTCACACCCACACACCCATGGACGCTAGTAAAGAACAAAAAAAAAAAGCTATAAGTCAAATACGTAATCCCGGAAGTAGGACATGTGCCACTAGAGACTGAAAACGCCGAGACAATGTAGACTCGTGGTTGTCTCGCAGATGGATGGCGCCCCGAGTGGAGCTGATCGCGCCGTTTGGTTTTACGGGTTTTCCAATACTGCTGACACGCCCTAAACGAGTGAATCTCGCGACTTGTCGCTCCATTCACCTCGTAAAAGAAAATTAACCAACCTTGACTGCGGCAGTGATGTTGTTGTTTTAACGCAAGAGAAAAACTTGAACTTTTGCAAATAAGTAAATGTACCTTGACTTCAGGAAGCGTCGGACAAAGGCATAGTTGCTCGGGGGGGGGGTTTGGGGGGGAGGATCTGGTTACTTAACGATTCTGAATCAATCAGCGTGTGGTTGACCTGGTGTAGACCGGACCAGCAATGGTGTACCCCATTAGTGATAGCTTCGGAGAAATTCGACAGGCAAGTCTTGGAAAAGAAGAAGACAAAGTAGATCATGAACTGTTAAATAGCTTGTGAAATAACTTCTGTTATCTAATAATTATCGTTGATATAAAGTTAGATATTTGTTGTTGTTTTAAAAAAAAAAAAACGTTGATACGAAATCTAACTTTTCCATCGAATATGATAACTGATCCTAATGTATCATACACATGCAATTTTGGCAAGTAATGGAGGGTTTCGTTGAACGTGCATCTTAATGTTGTGCTATGGAAAAAATATGGACCGAAAAAAGGATGAATATGTATGGAGAATGCGAACCAACAAGGAATGCATTGTCTTTATAAAGATCCCACGCAAGTAGCAAAAAGTGTTTAAAAGGGCATGATGGGCTGGACACTTAGAAAGAATGTCAAATGACAGAGGAATAAAGGGGGTGACCACCAAAACTCCAGAGGAAAACGACTCAAAGGCAGATCTAGGGTAAGATGGATGGATTATGTGGAAAAGTATCTACGACAGCTGGGTATCCCCCATACATGGAAAAGAAAAAGCATGAGAAGGATGTGGTGAGGCAGGCCAAAGCTCTCTATGGGGGCTGCAGCGCCACAGGGATGGATGGATGGATGTTGTTCGTTGGACTGTCATCAGATGTGAAAAATTATCAAATACATCAATATTAGAAATGATTCTTAACATACTGTTATTTTGTATGGATTTTCAATTGTAATATGTTCAAATCATCTATGTCCAATTAAAGAATCCTCAACCTAGCATTGAAATTTAGTATGACTCTAAAGGAAAGCTTAAACTGTTAAGGGTTTAGCGACTTTATTTTACGGTGTTTCAAAGTTTAAACAAGTGGGAGAACGAACCTCACCCCACCCCCCCCCCTCCACCCCACAAACCTTCAACCAACACCAGATTAAAAATCCCATTTTTTAACAAGGATATTATTTGGTCAGAAGTCTTACGCTGAAATATTGTTTCTTTCCTCTTCAGCAGCTTTCCCTTTAATGGCGGTCCGCGGACCGTCACCGTTCCCGTGAGTATTTTGTCGCCGGCCCGCACAACATGAGTGGTCAAGTAAAAAGAAAACAATATTTATAAACCTGGCACCGGCCTCTGGCGCAGTTTCGAAACTCGTCAAACGACGCGTCAAACATGAAAGTTTGAGAAGCACTGGTCTACAGATACCTGTGATTCATTCGGTCACATTTTTCGTCAGGAAGAGGGAGAAGATCACGTTCAGTAGAACCGGAAATATGATCGCGCTAATGGACTGCGAACACTGGAGAAGAAAAAAAAAACAAAGATATCTCGGTGTTTTTTTTTTTTCTTCCCCGAGTGGTACTTTCATAGATGGCAGTCCTACACCCACTTGCCATTCAGTTGTCCTGCCAGGCTATGGATTCAACACCCGCTACAACTTCACGGCCAGTCCGATGGTTCTGGAGAAGAAAAAAAAAACAAAGATATCTCGGTGTTTTTTTTTTTTCTTCCCCGAGTGGTACTTTCATAGATGGCAGTCCTACACCCACTAGCCATTCAGTTGTCCTGCCAGGCTATGGATTCAACACCAGCTACAACTTCACGGCCAGTCCGATGGTCTCGTGGTCACTTCTCTCTTCGGTATCGATCTTTTTTTTTTTACTCACTGACCCACAAATAGCCCGTGCCGAGAAATCACTGAGTTAATCCCATTGATTTACCGGCGAGTGTCTCCCAAATATGGATTGTGACGTTTCTATTGGAGAGGGCTGGTCGGGACACGAGGTACAATTAGGTTAGACAAAGCCGTTGAGGTAATGGAGTCGGATGTGGACCCGCTAGAGGTGTTTGTGTGTGTGTGGGGGGGAGGACCATAACGTGGAGGAGGAGGAGGGGGTAAGTAAGTATTCAATGCCAGGAACTTCTTTGTTGGAAGCAAAAAGACAGCATTAAACTATGGTCCACATAACCGGATCACTCCACGATGAATCCTTATGAAAAAGAAATCATCATGTCAGCTGGCGGTCTTCAAAAAAATTTGTCCTGGGGGGGGGGGGGCATTCCTCCCCCACCCCTCATGAATTTGCAGATTTTATTTAAATTGCTATGTGCCGTCAAGTCGACCAAGTTTGGGTTCCCCCCACCCCCCTGAAAAAAATTAAAATGACGCCCCGGCCTACAACTTAGGGTTTGCGGGGCCCACGTTACGGCCTCCAAACCAATTGAAAATATCATTAATTTACCCCGAAAACTAAACATTTTCATAGTTCACCAGTCTAGACTGGTTAGTCACTGCGTTAAAGGGGCAAACTTTTTGCTAATTGAGAAACCTTGTTGCAACGAAATTTTAAAGTTATTTGTGTTATAGAATACATGACCAGAGTTCTTTTTTATTTAATTTTTTTTTTTATAAGCTTTCAACTAACAGCCTTTTCGAACTTCAAGGGCTACTTCAAGGGCTACTTCAAGGGCTACACAAGTCGTCTCTAACGTGCCATTTTTGAAACGGAACAAAATTGAATTGACCTCATTACTACTCCACGTTATAAAATGGAGTTCAGACTTTTGTTCTTCCTATTTTTTTTTAATGGACGCACATTTCTTTTAACCTCCACCTATAATCTGTATTATTGAAAAGAAGGAAAAAAAAGAGAGAAAAGAATATAAAAACATCTTTACATATTTGGGCTGTTTTTTTTTTCGAGAAACCATAAATAAGATGACTTCTTATTAAGATTCAGATTTTGATTCAATATATAACGGGTGAGGCAACCTTCGTCCCAATTTTGTCGCTGGTGTAATCATCTTACTGATAAGGGGAACGATTAACGTCAGTGAATACACAAATGGTATTTCCCAATTTTTCATTTACTTTACACTATAAGTCATTCCTACCAAAAGCCATTTTTTATTTAGTATTTTATTTTTTTAAAAGCACAGCCTAACGCTATTTAGTCCTGAGATCCCATGATAGCATATTATAGGTAGATATCTATTTTGCTGCACTCTTGAACGAAAAGTTTTCTGGACATAGTGTTTTTGTCTGCGGCTTCCTTTAGGTTTAACGATTGTGGGTGCCGCTCTTGAAGGAAAAACATTAATCAGAAGGTGAAATAATTGATGCGTTTGGGAATATCAAGAACGAAGACCCGTTGTTTTGCTAATCACACTATATTCTTTCCAAAATGTATGATGCAGACCTGAACTTCGCGGAGGCGTGAAATGAGCTGAGTCTGAGTGACAATAGCGCAATAACTTTCTAAATATAAGAGATTCGTCCGTCGAGAATCGACTAGGACCATCGAGTCATTCGGTGTTGGCTGACTGATGACGTGCGCGGGTTGTTTCTTAAAGTGAGGAAGAGTTGCGCAGCGTCAACCTCGCCTCTCTCCACGCCGCTGGATAACCCAAGGGAACATCACCTGATGATACAGCTTGGCACCTGCACCAATGTTATCCACCTTCGGGACTCCACCTCCGGGTTTTTTTATTTCTGAGTCTCCTTCTCTTAGATGAGTTGCCCTCCAAGGTCAACGAGTCTCATCCACCAACTCGAGATTTGTCCTCAGTTTGCTCAGTACAGACCACTCGGCTTCCTTACATATATATAAAATCACAAATAATAATTCTCTGTGTATGCATGGCTGTTACGCTCTGTTCAAAAGGCGCGCAAAATAAAAATCACAGAAGTTAGCACTAATTGGGATGCTCACAAAGTGCGTTACTTGAATGCATTGTTTTGTGACGTAACTTTTAGTAGATGGGAAGTTCACGCATTACCGCCGCCATTGCTTGGAGAGGTTATTTCTAGGAAAATGTATACTATCTGAACAATGCGTAACTAAAAATTGGGAAGGGGTTAGGCGTAGGGGACAAACTAATATTACCTCTCTTTTCATTTCATGCTGAGCGGTTTACTTCCACGCTTGTAAAAACCTTGTCAATGGTTTTCATTATTTTTTTAAAATCGCATTCTTAAATGTGTTGCTCAGAGCCACGGGCGTAGTTAGAGTGGGGCAAATGTAGAACCGCTACAAATCAGGAGGGAAAATCAATATTAAGTACTGTAGAGAGGTACCGGTGGATGGACAAAAACGAACCGCCCTTCCAAATGCAGAATAACTGGGTTGGCGGCAGGCGACTAAAGAGGTCCTCTTTCATGCACCAGGTCGTGGAGCTGGAAAGGACAGTCGCCCTGCCCCAAAATAGAGAAAGTCTGACCCTAATACCAGTTAATCCGCCATATGCGGAACCCTCACGTCCCTCTATACATTTGGCCTTGACCGATGCAGCAGTGACGAAACGTACCCCTGAGCATGTTCAGGAAGCAGCTGCCCTTGAGACCATGGATGTGTTCGTACACTTACCAGTGAAAGTGTTCACGGACGGCTCGGCCAACTTGAGAGAAAGAACTGCTGGGTATGGTGCGCTCATACTGTATCCTGCGGGAGGACCACCAACAGAGGAGTTCTCGGGGCCCTGTGGGATGCGCACCAAGCACTGCCCCTTGCGCACACATCTCTGGCGGCTGGATAACAACAGGGATCCTACGTGCCAGCATTGCAGCCTGGCCCCGGAGACCCTAGAGCACCTGTTGACCGAATGTCCCTCACTAGATCTCCCGGGGGAAGCCAGGGCGTTTGCAGGATCCTTTTTGAGGAAAATGTTGTATGGCTCAGCTCAACAGATGGAGTTGATGTCCCATTTACTAGCCGGTGTCATAAGAGAGTAATCTGAGACCCTCACCAGAATATGTGTGTTAGTTAGTGGCGCGGATTGTTCGGTCCGCCACGGGCTGCACTCACTTATCTTAAGGGGCGGATTTGTTGTCCCACTTATATTTTATATAGCTTTTTAAAAATATGCATTCTTTATGCATTGTGGTATTCGTTATAGTTGGGGGCGGCAAAAAAAGGACCACCCCCGAATGTCCATATCATTTCTACGCCTTATTCGTTTTCTTGACATCATAAAACTTGTTATTTTAAATGGCTTTCTTTAAAAAAACAACAAAAAAAAACAAACAACTTCTGTACATAAAAGGAATGAAATAAAATTACAATCAAAATAAAAAAAAATAAAAACCGAACCCCAAAATCGATATGTAAATTCACATGTGAATGAATGTTTAAGATGTGCTCCACATATCAGGCGAATAAAAACTAAATCTATTAGGCTATATATATATATATTTTTTTTTTCAAAAACGAATACTCACGACACAATCTCCCGATGCATCTCACGTAAAAAGATGCCCTGCCTAAGGCGTCTGTTGTAAATTTAATGCATTCGTTGGGTCATGTGGTAAATGTCATGTGGTAAATTTGCAGAAACAGATTTTATTATTTTGAATGTAACGGTAGAGCATGAAATTATTTTAAAATGCGCAGCTATACTTAATAATAAGCTATAAGCAACTCTGTGTACGTGGGGTAACCACCCCACCCCCCCCCCCCGCTTTAGCGCAATTATAATTGGGGTCGATAAAATCGGGATAGCGTTATAGTGGGGTCGCGTTATTTCGGCGTCGCGTTATAGCAGGGTAGTGTTATAGCGGGGTCGTGTTATAGCGGGGTCGTGTTATAGCGGGGTCGTGTTATAGCGGGGTCGTGTTATAGCGGGGTCGTGTTATAGCGGGGTCGTGTTATAGCGGGGTCGTGTTATAGCGGGGTCGTGTTATAGCAGGGTCGTGTTATAGCGGGGTCGTGTTATAGCAGGGTCGTGTTATAGCGGGGTTGCGTTATAGCGGGGTCATTGGGATTTTTTTTTTTTTTTTTTTTTTTTTNGGGGGGGGGGGGGGTTTTTGGGGTTTTTTTTTTTTTTTTTTTTTGGAAAGATGGGGGAGGGGTCATTTCATTTTTAAAACTGGACATTTCAATCTCTTGTTGTCGGTGACGTATGTCGTTTTGAAGTTGAACAAGTTTTGTAAATTTTCTTAGTGCATTTCTCACACTTTTATTTCCCCAACATACTTTGAAGAAAATGATTTTTCATGTGTGAAATCTGGTAAGTCATGCCACAAGTTATATTCCCTTTAAGCTGCGCGGCTGCGCGGCCGCGCAGCTATCTCACAGATGCCGTGCAGCAGTTTTGAGTAACCGCGCATCAAATTTCCATTTAAGTTTGTGTTTGTGGGCTGCAAAATTTTGCACACAAAAAATTTGATGCTGTAAAACTTTGCACACAACTGAATGATTTTGCACACGAACCAGCAAACCTTATCCCACAACCACGTTATATCCCAATTTGCTTTGAAGTGGCGCACGTTTTAGCGGGGCTCCACGCTATTACATGTTGAACAATTTATGTCGGGGGACGTATCATCACAGTTTACGTTGTTCCTTTACATAATCAACCTAAATGATAAGTTCAATGTTAAGTTCAATGATACGTTCCATGATAAGTTCAATGATAAGTTCAATGAAACGTTCCATTATAAGTTCAATGATGATAAGTTTTATTTCTATTTATTTTCTCCCTCTGACACACACAGGCAACTGCGACAGCAGCATCGGATCCGCCTCCACATCTGCCTCATGCTGTCCTCCTTCATGACCTCCGTCAGCATGTTGGCCTGGGACCTGTTCATCTTCCAGGACAGGCTGGCCACGGCGGAGAAGGACAACGCCGTCATCAATAAGAACGGGGTAGGTCCAGCAACACATTCGTCGCTTGTGTTGTTGATCAAGCGTAGCACCTTCATCATTATCTGAATACGTGGACCACCTAGATCATTGGGATCAAGACATGAGGGGCGGGCGGGGGGAGGCAACTGCTATATATAATATTGTAGAGGGACCATTTTTGCCACCAATCTTAATGTGTCAATGGCGAGATGGTCAAGTTGATAGTTTTTTTGGCCGCATGTTTGAACCCTCTCCCCCCCCCCCTTTCCACGAGTCCTTGACTCCCGAGTCCATAGAACCGCGCACAAGATCTTCTCTCCACCCCTACTTCAAGGGAGTGATAACATTTTTTTTGTTAACTTCAAATCCTAGTTCCAAATTTAACGTTATCGCTTCAAAATCTTATTGAAACCCGTTACTGTTGTGAGTGTTACTGTGGGGATTGTTACTGTGAAGATTGTTACTGTGGGGATTGTTACTGTGAAGATTGTTACTGTGGGGATTGTTTTTGTTGTGTGTGTTACTGTGGAGAGTGTTACTGTGGAGAGTGTTACTGTGGAGAGTGTTACTGTGGAGAGTGTTACTGTGGAGAGTGTTACTGTGGAGAGTGTTACTGTGGAGAGTGTTACTGTGGGGATTGTTACGTTGGGATTGTTAATGTGGAGAGTGTTAATGTGGAGAGTGTCACTGTGGGGATTGTTACTGTGGAGAGTGTTACATCGTGTCGAAGACATGTTCATGGTGAGCCTCACATATTTATGAAGCCACACGGGAAACGTTGATGCTAACAAGATAATAAATTGAATTTCATACCGTTAAGTGTCACCAAGAATTCCTCCTATCTGATAAATAAAAAAAAAGTGAAGGAAAAACAACAAATCCAATTAGAAACCCGTCTTCTGCTTAGAGATTATCCAAGATATGATTTCGTGTCTGGCATATATTAACGTTTAAAGCCCCACCCCCCTCCCCCGAAAATTGTGCACGGTGCAAAAATAACATTGGATGATTGCATGCGTGATTCTTTGAGACCTTCACTATCGGGAATGAGATTTACGAAGCTGGGTGCAAATAGGTGAAGTGTATGAGGAATTAAACAACCCATAAAAAACAAAGTTTACAGTAATCATGCAACAGCGTCAGTTTATTATTATTTTTTTTTTAATGTGTAAAAGAAAGAGTTAACTATAAAAAAAAAACCAAAGTTAAATTAAAAGTTTTTTTTTAACATTGCAGAGTCCAGATGACAATCCCTCGTTGTCTTAAATGTTTGTATTATATTTAAATTTTTCTAATGCCCCCCCCCCTCGGGGGCCCACTTCTTAACAGTACCAAGTGGTATAAATCGCATAACTCACAAGTACATGAAATACCGAACACCGAAAATGTTTCGGTTTTTCAAAAAATGGGTTTAAATAATAAATTTCAAAAGTTTGAATCTCTGATTGCCTGACGGTGCGGGCTGCCTCACAGGCATTTACATTAGCGCAAGGAAGTGTATTTTAGATAACGGCGTCACGAAGAAGAAGGAATAAATTTGAGTAAATGGCAGGCGCAGGCATAGGGCAGGATCCAGACGAAGATTTAGTGGGTCACAATGACCGACATAGAATATGGGGGGGGGGGATACTGTCTTTGGCGGGGGGGGTATATTTTCGGGGGTTCCTAGCGTGATGCTACTCCCCGGTTTAACTGCTTCCCAAAGCAAATTAAACGAATTTGCCAAATTGTGTATCCTTTTTGACTGAAGCCACCTCGAAGATTTAGTGGGTCACCATGACCGAAATAGAATATGGGGGGGGGGGGATACTGTCTTTGGCGAGGAGGGTATATTTTCGGGTGTTCCTAGCGTGATGCTACTCCCCGGTTTAACTGCTTCCCAAAGCAAATTAAACGAATTTGCTAAATTGTGTATCCTTTTTGACTGAAGCCACCGGAAGAGCCAGGCGTCGGCCGCAAATAAATTTCGATCATAAGAAGTGCACTAACATTATCGGCTCAAAAGAATCATCGCCCTTCATGTCAATACAAATTAAAGCGACAAAATGCATGGCATCTATATTTAATTTTTTTAACGTACCTTGAATTGTACGTTCAATCAAGCTTTTGCACTTCAGGTCGGCTGTAGGATCCTGCAGCTCCTGACCAGGTACACCCAGCTGGCTGCCTTCATGTGGATGTTCATAGAAGGGTTCCACCTGCACCGCCTGCTCGTGCACGCCTTCTCGGTACCGAAAACCTTGGTTCCATACTACGTGTTCGGTTTTGGTGAGTACTATTGAACAGCCGCATAACTTAACCTTGGTGAGTACTGTTGAACAGTTGCAGAGCTTTTCTTGGTAAGTACTGATGATCAGTCGCATAGATTTACTTGCTGACTACTTTTGAAGGGCTGCACAGCTTTATTTAGTGAGTACTGTTGAACGGCCGCATAGCCATACGTGCTATGACAATAGCCCACCCTAAACAAAACGTACATAATTTTTTTTTTTTTGTTTTTTTTGGACAATTACAAACGTTTTGGTAAAAATATTATTTTTTATATTTGAAAAAGAGTGGGTGAAGTTGAGGTGTAGGATAATATCAGAAGCTGGATCAAAGAAAATCTTACAAAACTGAAAATTATGCCACAAAAAAGTATGCCTTAGAAAAAGTATTCAGCAGAAAAGTATGCCACAGATAAGTATGCCACAGATAAGTATGCCACAGATAAGTATGCCACAGATAAGTATGCCACAGATAAATATGCCACAGATAAGTATGCCACAGATAAGTATGCCACAGAAAAGTATGTCACAGATAAGTATGCCACAGATAAGTATGCCACAGATAAGTATGCCACAGATAAGTATGCCACAGATAAGTATGCCACATATAAGTATGCCACAGATAAGTATGCCACAGATAAGTATGCCACAGATAAGTATGCCACAGATAAGTATGCCACAGATAAGTATGCCACAGATAAGTATGCCACAGATAAGTATGCCACAGATAAGTATGCCACAGATAAGTATGCCACAGATAAGTATGCCACAGATAAGTATGCCACAGATAAGTATGCCACAGATAAGTATGCCACAGATAAGTATGCCACAGATAAGTATGCCACAGATAAGTATGCCACAGATAAGTATGCCACAGAAAAGTATGCCACAGATAAGTATGCCACAGATAAGTATGCCACAGAAAAGTATGCCACAGATAAGTATGCCACAGATAAGTATGCCACAGAGAAGTATGCCACAGATAAGTATGCCACAGATAAGTATGCCACAGATAAGTATACCACAGATAAGTATGCCACAGATAAGTATGCCACAGAAAAGTATGCCACAGATAAGTATGCCACAGATAAGTATGCCACAGATAAGTATGCCACAGATAAGTATGCCACAGATAAGTATGCCACAGATAAGTATGCCACAGATAAGTATACCAAGGTAAAAAAAAAAGAGAAGGAAAACATTCCTAAAAATGTGTTCTACAAATGTTTTTGCCTTGAAGTTTTGAGTATTTACTGATAGCTTCAGCGCAAATTGAAAGTCAGAGGCGGCACTCCTTATGAACCATTTTTGTCACATCATTTGTGCACAGGACGCGTTGAGAGACATCGGTTTACATGACTACAGCTGACTTGAGGATGGCTCCGTCTGTTCAAAGACTTAATGGATCTTTTGTAAGAATTATGAAATGCAAGAAGAAAAACAGTAATAGAGAAAGAACGGACTACTAAAACGATCGAAGGAAAAAAAAAAATAAAAACTTGGAGTGGGGGGAAATGGAAATCAATTCACAGAAAGAAAAAAATAACCATCAGGAGTGAAAGAAATTAAACAATTTTTATGGAATAAAATGACAACGGGGTTGGGGAAGGGGTTAGGTGTTAATATTGGCAAATTCTATTATGCAAATGGCATTTTTTTTTTCAAAGTGCCTGTGCAATTCGTGTGGACTAATGCTGCGTTTAAATGTAGCGTGAATCACTGCGTACGTGAGGGAAATTTCTAAAATGAAGGGCAATCCTTTTTTTTTTTTTGTTTATGCTCGCCCTTTTCCTGCACGCGGAGACGCCGTCTTTATCTTACACCGCAAAAACTGAACTGATTTCTATTCTTCATTGAATACTCGCACATTCGGGCCGTTTAACTCTTTTAAAGATCTTGACCTGTTCACTCTCAGAGCCCCTAATGGCTGCGTTTAACGCTGCTGATTGCACCCACGGTCTTCCTCTTCTGAATGCATTGGGAGGAGTTCGGAACGAGTTACTTGATTTGTGGCAAATTGAAATGATGGTCAAGACAAACGTTCCATGAATGGTGTGCAAGATTTCTTGCAAGTGGAGAAAACAACGGCAGATTTGGTAAACGTTCATTACTAGAATGACAAAGTGGTTGTTTTTTTTTCCCAACATTGTTGTGAATTGAGAGAAACAGTTCTGGGGTCAACACATTGGACTCATTTTCGACGCAATTTTTTGATGTCTTCAAAGTACACGCGCTATAATGTGACATTGGTTAAATCCTGAGCCGATGAGAACCTATTTATTTGAGATACTTTTATTTTAATCTTAAAGAGTTCAGCAATTAACATATTCACGTTATGTTATTATGTGTGTACATTTATCATTTAAATTAGCGCCAGTATTAAAAATAATAATAATAAAACACACACACACACACACACCAAATACAAGATAACTAAATCTGTTAAAAAATATATAGTATCTTTGTGTTTGGCCTGAAACTTTATTTTAGGTAACGGCTTCTATTTAAATTTCAAGTCGAACATAACGAGGATGAATCATTGCGAAACTTCGGTTCTGACTCTGTATTGAACTTTTAAAAGCACATCGGTATAGAGACGATACAACAAGCGCTTGGGTGATCAGCTCGCCGGTTCGCTTTCACACTCATCAGCGTACTTTATCGGTCTTGATAGCTTAATTTTATTTCCAACATTGACGATGCTCCAAAGGTTCAGGCAAGATGACTCACTTCCAGACATCCTCTCTTACAGGAATGCCGATCATCCCGATCATCGTCTACGCAGCCATCCGAGGAACAGACGATGAGCTCAACAAGCTGTGAGTGTTTTCTCTGTTTTCTTTGCTAATCGCCTTTGTGTCTGTCTATTAAAAGATGTTTAGTTCATGCGTTAAATATGTGGACGTTAAGATACGTTTTGAGAATGTCGTATTTTTAATGACATCTGCCGACTGATGCCCTGTGACTAATTAAGTGGCACTTTTGTTTCCGTTGTCTGCTTTGTAATGCAAGTATCAATTTATGTATCTACTTTCTTTTATTCCTCTTCACTCTTATCCTCTAACAATTATTATTTATTTATACCCGAGAAGTATCTCCCGTTATAACAAAACATCTAGTTTGTAATATAAAATGACCAGTTTTAGTCTCACGTATCAATCTGTATTTCTTTTTATAAAATGAAATATTTTCCTTCAGTCCTTCTCAAAATCATCTTCATGGAGACTCCAAGTTTTTTTTTGTTCCAAATAACCTATACAACTCTTATTAAAATAACTTTTCTGCAAACCTCACTTTTTTTTATTTTTATTTCAACAACACTTTGATGTTCCGCTCTACAATGCTAACAAGTTTCTGGTCAACCGGGATTTCTTTGAATAATTTTCATTTAAAGTTATGGAGTGGCTTAGGGTGATTGACAGGTGTAGGGTGAGAGGTTGTTGAGAAGAGAGGGTCGTGAGACAAGAGTGGAGGTTCAAGATTGGAGGTCAAATATTGGAGGTCACTAGTGTCTTAAATTATTGTTTTTTAAGCTTAAGAATCAGACCGTTTTTTGGAAAAAAGTCATGAGAATAAGGTACACTATTACACAGCTGGCAGTAGTCGCTACGTGACAGTTTGCTAGTGGTCGCCACGTGACAGTTGCTAGTGGTCGATATCTGGAGTACTAAGATTCACTTATTTATTTACCACAATTTGAAAAGAGTTAACCATGCCATGTTGTCAAAGTCAAAAAGTAACTGTGTTTGTTTGGCGTTGTCAAAGTCGGGAAGTTGGTATGTGTGTTTGGTGTTGTCAAAGTCAGGAAGTAACTATGTGTGTTTGGTGTTGTCAAAGTGAGGAAGTAACTATGTGTGTTTGGTGTTGCCAAAGTCAGGAAGTAACTATGTGTGTTTGGTGTTGTCAAAGTCAGGAAGTAACTATGTGTGTTTGGCGTTGTCAAAGTCAGGAAGTTGGTATGTGTGTTTGGTGTTGTCAAAGTCAGGAAGTTGGTATGTGTGTTAGGAGTTGTCAAAGTCAGGAAGTTGGTATGTGTGTTTGGTGTTGTCATAGTCAGGAAGTAACTATGTGTGTTTGGCGTTGTCAAAGTCAGGAAGTTGGTATGTGTGTTTGGTGTTTTCAAAGTCAGGAAGTTGGTATGTGTGTTTGGTGTTGTCAAAGTCAGGAAGTTGGTATGTGTGTTTTATGTTGTCAAAGTCAGGAAGTTGGTATGTGTATTTGGTTTTGTCAAAGTCAGGAAGTTGGTATGTGCGTTTGGTGTTTTCAAAGTCAGGAAGTTGGTATGTGTGTTTGGTGTTGTCAAAGTCAGGAATTTGGTATGTGTGTTTGGTGTTGTCAAAGTCAGGAAGTAACTATGTGTGTTAGGCGTTGTCAATGTCAGGAAGTTGGTATGTGTGTTTGGTGTTTTCAAAGTCAGGAAGTTGGTATGTGTGTTTGGGGTTGTCAAAGTCAGGAAGTTTGTATGTGTGTTTGGTGTTGTCAAAGTCAGGAAGTTTATATGTGTGTTTGGCGTTGTCAAAGTCAGGAAGTGCGGTAAACTCATGGTGTCAGCCCCCCCCCCCGCCCCACTCCCGACTTTCGCGATGGATTTCTTCTTGGTAAATAAGTCCACAAAATATCAATGGCAAGAAGAAAAACTAATTAATTGAAGGTTATGGGGGTGAATGTATTTAAGAACTGTAACTAAAGTTGAAGTTACTTTTATATTAAATTTACTTCATTTAAAAATGATCCTTTACTGGTCTTCAAAGCTGCAACCCTGTCAATCATTTGATCAAAATCAACAGCCTTCACATCCGTATCACTTTCAATTGATAGAGGAGCCAGTGCAGAAAGACTTGTTTTTCCCATGGTGGATCGTAAATAGTCTTCCTGCCATTCTCTTCTGAAACCTTAATCTTGTCAATACTGAAGTTCCATATTGGTCTGATTTTAAAAGTGCCTTTTAAATAGCATGTTCCATTAAGTATCTGCGCGTCTCTTGTAGAAACAATCTTAAGGCCTCTAGTTTGGTCACCAACTTTGTCAAGACTAAAGCGTTTAGTCTGCAGATACTGCTGTGTAAGATTAACTTCCGCGTGTAGGTCAGCCCAAAGGTAATGGTAGCAGATAAACGTGAAATCGAATGACAGCATGTAAATGATCTTGTGCTGTACCTCTTTTTTTTTTTTTTCAATTTTTCTATAGGATCATACAGAGCTTCAATCGCCGCCACACATCATTCATCAAACTTATCTCTCACTGTTTCAACAGCAGCAAGGGCAGTTTAACGTGTCTTAGCAGTCTTTTCACTGACATTCCAGTGTGTACTTTTAAAACATCACATCGATGATTGGATGCAGCAAAGAAGGAACATATTCTCACACGAGCATTTTTGCCCCCCAAAAATGTGTCATGAAAGTTATCGAACACTTCAACGGTGTTGAATCATGGTCAAATCGGTGTTTCTTTTTTAAAACTAATTATTGGCACGAATTTGATTGTTTATATGTGTGGAAAATTTACGTGTGATCAGGGATCATTTTATGAAATTCGAATAGAACGAGCAGTGTGTGCTCTGTAAATATGCAATATTTCAATTGGGTGTACCCCCCTGAGATGGTGTCCCCCGGTTCGGTCGGCCCCCCCCCCGCACCGCACTCCCCAGCTACACCACTGCCAACAAACCCGTACACCAACTAACCCATATAGACCCATACGATCATGTCTCTTCTTTGACACTTTCCTTCTCGACTAGACGGAAACAAAATAATAGGATCCCGCCAAGGCTATTTCATATCTTTATCGTCTGCTCAACATCAAACTGTGTGTACCGGTTGAGCCCGTTTCCCCCCTGCCTGCCGTTATGATGCATCAAGATCATCAAATAGTTTTGGCTAATGACCCACCTTCCCCCTAAATAGACCCCCCACAAAAAATAAAACAATATTTGTTAAAGAATAATTAAGAGAGTAAAACATGCTTATTTTTATAATTATTTTAAATCCCGGGAAAATATAAGAGAAGATTGAATTCACTTATGTTTAAAAATATATACATTTTAAAAAAAATTGAAATTTTGTTTAATTTAATTCCTCTTTAAAAAAAAAATAATTTTCCTTTATTCCTGTCTATAAAATCTGTGTTTTGATTTAAATATGACATTGAGCAATAACCCGCCATACGATGGTGGTCGCCGTGCGTGACCTTCCCATCTACTACAGGCACTTGAACAAAACACGCATTCAAGTGACGCACTTTTAATGAATCTCTATTCATGCTAACTTCTGGTGATTTCTATTTTGCGCACATTGTTACAGTCAGACATGCAAAACCTAGTGAATGATTTTCTGTGATAACTTATAACAGTATAATAATAATGAATAACTATCTCATTAACACGGTTACGTTGCGAAATCTTCTTCTCGATCTGAACCGTATATATGTTACCGGCAATGTGTGAAATCCGGCATTATATAGAATGCCTAGGTATTCTATAGAATGCCTGAAAATTGTAGGCAAAGTATGAAATGGTTTACATTTCACACATTTCCTAGGCATTCTATATAATGCCTAAGAGCGACCCGGCAATGTCTAGAATACCCCGCCATTGATGTTTGATTCTTTGCTTGGTGGTGGCGTGGCGATCGCGACACACGTGCTTCGTACTCCCGCCAAAGATGCTACTCCTATTGTTTCAAGACGGCTGCCGAGATGTGGGAAGATCAGGTTGTAGCTTCAGATCAGGAATCACGGTATGTTTACATGCAACGGCGGTTCTACGATGAACTTTCTCAATGTCGAGCCAATACTGCTAAAAACTGCGTGTCTCTAACGGAAACTAGTTACCAAAAATTGGTGGATGATGTGAAAATGGCTCGGATGACAACTCAAAAGAAACCAAGAGACTATTTGCTGCTGAAACGCTATGATGTAATGGCGGTAGAGAACAAAAGTAAGTTGATCTATCCTGTTAAAGAAGGCGACAGTGCTATTCAGTTCTATGTCACGGATTCAGAATTATTTGACGCACGAGGCTCACCTGACCGTGGGACATGGAGGAAGGGACAGAATATTGAAAGAACTTTCACACAAGTATAAGAACATTACACGTAATGATATTGAACTTTACCTCCACCTTTGTGAGCCGTGCCAAAAGAAACGAAAAGGTGTCACAAAGGGTGTTGTGGTGAAGGTGTTGTGGTGAAGGTGTTGTGGTGAAGCCTATGATTTTTTCTGAATTCAACTCCCGTGGTCAGGTCGATCTTATCGATTTTCAATCCCATCCTGACAGGGAATATAAATTTAAAATGGTGTACCAAGATCATCTAACAAAGTTTGTGGTTCTGAGGGCTTTAACATCCAAGAGGGCGGAAGAGGTAGCCTACACTCTAGTGGAAACATTTACGTTGCTTGGAGCTCCATCAATTCTACAGTACGATAATGGCCGGGAATTTACCAACAATGTGGTGAACAGCCTAAAGGAGTACTGACCAATTTGAAGATCGTCCATGGTAAACCGCGCCACTCACAAAGCCAGGGCAGTGTCGAAAAAGCTAATCAAGACATCGAAAACATGCTATGTGCTTGGATGCAAGATGAAAAAAATGACCACTGGGCTGAGGGATTACGATTCATCCAACTTATGAAGAACAGGGCCTTTCATTCTGGGATCAAGAGAACGCCTTATGAAACTCTGTTTGGCTGCAAAGCTAAAGTGGGCCTTGCAACGTCTTCCATACCCCTTGACGTTTTGCAAGACATACAGACTGAGGAAGAACTCAAAAAAATAATAGAAAGCGTAAAAACAACACAGCAGGAAGAAGCAAATCATCAGATGCAAGATACAGAGCCTGCTATAAAGAATACTGAAGACAAGATACAGAGCCTGCTATAAAGAATTCTGAAGACAAGTTACAGAGCCTTCTATACAGAATACTGAAGGGAATGCAACCAGTAATGGAGGAAACCAAACTGATTGTGACGTCATGGTTACTGAAGAGCCTTCCACCTCTGGTGTTTGTTGTTTCTGCTTAAAAGAAAGCAGCGGTGCCCATACTTGCCGAAACTGTCTCCGCAATGTTCATGTGATCTGTGGGCATGTTGCTAAAGACGATGGAGACGAGGAAATAGAAGGTTATGGTGTTGGTATTTTGTGCAGCCTGTGTTTCAAGATAAAGAGAGCTGAAGAGGCTAGAAAAGAATCTAAATCGAACCTTGAAATCCAGGCCAAAAAAATGAAAATAAACTCTGACAAAAAGTTCCCGCCTGCACCTTTAGAAGCCACTGTGCGCGTTCCTATTCCTGACGTTGACAAGGGACGGGGTGACTCGCGCAATCTGTTGGCTGTTGTTATGACAGAGACAGAAGACGGCTTTTACCGACTTGAAACTGCACATGGAATCTTGAAACAATTGAAGACCTCAAGGGAAAAAACGGCAGAGTCCATTTTTAATTTTTTTGAGTTATCACCCCTGACTTATAGCCAGTTAAAAATAGAAGGTGCTGAATTAAGTTTAAAGGAGAAAAAATGGCTAAGTCCATAAGAAAAATGGAAACGAAAAATCCGTTTACAATGGAAAAAGAAGCATAGTCCAATGTTTACAATGGAAAAGGGGGCTAAGTCACTAATATCACGTGACATTTGAAGTCACGTGATTTAAAGGTCCAATGAGAGATAGCTATAGTGTAAACAAAATTTAAAGATGGCGACCGATTCGCTCAGCTGACCGACAAACCGACGAAAAAGTTAACTGACAGACCTGAATTTTTTAAATTTCCTACCACAAGAAAACAAAACAAATTAACATAAGCACGATAAATTGGACTTAAAACATTAAAATAATAAAATTAGCATTTTTAAATCGCATTTTACCCTTGTTTTGTTATGTTCAGTTAATTAATGTGTGTATCCGTCTCGTCTCTTTCGCTGTCGCTCTAGTCCTAGTTAAGTCTAGTCTATCACTGTTTGTTGCATGTCCCTGTCAGTCTATCTCAGTTAGTTTGTATATCTCTCTCCCTGTCGCTCTAACTCTAACTCTGTGTCTGACTCCCCCTGAACTCTTTATCTTCGAGTGTCTGTCTTGCTATCTCGGTCTGTTTACTGTTACTCTTTACTGACTTTACTCTAAAGTTCATACAGTTACAGCTACTGCTAGAGGAAAAAAAACCTAATATTGGGCCAAAATTGTAAGAAGCACATCAGAAACTCAGAAAGTATGATTTTAAATCTGATTTTCAGGTTAAATTCTAAATAATATATTTTTTAAATAATAGTTATAGGCATGATCCATATTGTTATATTTATAGTTTAAACATAATTTGCCTAAGGCAGTGATCATTCGTAAATTACATCACGTTAAAAATGACCTTTTTAGACACCCCCTCCCCTTGTCACGAAATGTCACAAATTCTCCCCTCCCCCCCCCCTCACATCACCTAAAAAAATTCAAAACATACATAAAATTTTCATAACTAAACTAAGATATTATTTTATTCTTCAACATTTTTCCATAATGACTGTGGGTCGCGACCCCTTTATGGGTCGAATGACTCTTTTAAAGGTGTCACATAAGACAATCGGCAAATGCATATCCTCTACATTTATGAAGTACTAACGAAAATAATTTTATGGTTGAGGGTCGCCACAACATGAGGAACTGCATTCAAGGGTCGCGGCATTAGGAAGGTTGAGAACCACTGCCATAATGAAATAAATCATGTTACATTAAAGTTTGAATTACTCTATCTATTTAATAACCGGAAAAACTGGATTTTTTCTTGGCCGACGCTCAAGTGGTATATTACCATAATTATAGATTCAGTAGTATTTTATGAGTGTGTGAATATTTTATATATATTTTTGGCGGGTTTAATTTTTTTTCATCAGTGTTGAGTCTTGGGGTATCAGCAAAGATGTGTTTTACCCTTTTTTCCTTTCTTTTGAAATGTGTAAGTTAAATTTTAATACAAATTAATGGACTGATTGTCTGTTACCCTCAGAATGTGGCGGCAATCTTGGCCTTCAATCAGGAATAATAGCCTCGCCAAATTACCCTCATATTTACCCACCTGATTTGAAATGTCTCTGGTATATTCATGCACCAACTGGAGAAGTTATAGATTTAAGGTAAACGTTTATTTTAATTTGGTTCATAGTTTTCTTCAGAAGTTTTTGATTGCGATTTTACACGGCACATTTTAAATTTAAAAAAAAAAAAATATTGCAATTTTTAAAAATAAAATGAACATTTGTCAACATAGTTTTGAATCTCAATGTTAGATCTAATTTATTAAATTATCTGTATTTTAGATTTAGATTCTTTGACCTGGAAGAAATGGACTATGTCAGAATTTACAATGGTCATCGTTTGCTCGAAGATTCTTGCATCGGTAGATATAGTGGCCTAAAGAATCAGACGGAAATATCAAGCCTCTTTGTGCGCTCAGCTGGAAACACGATGACTGTTTATTTTCAAGGAAATGGACCACTGTCCAACCGAGGCTTCATCTCAGTTTATTGGACACATGGTAATAGCACATGCATTTAATGTATTGTTTTTTTTAATTCTAAAAATCTGCTGTGTCTATCCCTGCATTCTTAGTTAATAATTTTTTCGCCACATAATTTTAGGCCCTTTAAATATACAGTATACTGTCACTTTAATATGATGTGGGTTTGCAGAGCTCACATGACTGCTATGACTGTAACATTAAATGAAGTTTTTTTAAAGTGATTATAATTTTAAAAATTAAAAATAAATTACGTCATATTAGCCTACCTCACAATATAGAATATTGCCATGAAGTAGTAATAGTTATCTGCCAAGAATACTGAATTGAAGAGGATGAGATAGAATAATTAATATAGCTGTTACTACTGTTACCATGATAAATACCTCACTGTCCTCCCACTATTTCCCAGGCACCCTTCCTTCGCGCCCCCCAATTAAACAGGCCCTGATTTTACTGTTTTCATGTGTTAAATGACACAATTGTTTGCTGTTATCGTCTGGTTAATTCCAAATGTTTGAAATTGTGAGTTGGTTTTTTTTCGAGTTATATCTTGGTAATGTTTAAATTGTTATTTTGGGGTTGGCATGTTTGAATAATATTTTGTGTTTTTTCTCTATATTGTTAAGTAGGTCTACTAAAGAGGGAACATTTTGAAGAAAAAAAAGCATGTTTTAAAAAAATGTATTTTATTTATTTTTAGTGTGTTTGCCCTACACTTATGGCCAGGACACGTGCAATTTGACTTGCCAGTGCATTCATGAAAATTCTGTGGGTTGTGACTCGATCTCTGGATTTTGCAAGTGCAAACGTGGGTGGAGCCACAAAGACTGCTCCCAAGGTATCAATATTCTTTTATAAAAAAAATCATTTTTTAAAAAGGTTTATTTGGCTATTTTCATCATCAATTTCAAGTAAGGCTCTTAACTACGCAGTCTTTTCAGTGGTTAAAAATATAACTGCATCCATACTGAGTGATCCACTCTTCATTTTTAGCATATTAAAAAAAATAAAAAAATCTTGTATACAATTTAAGTTTAAGGTCAATTTAATATCATATTGTAAACTGTAAACGTATTTTATAAACATATAGCATAAGTCTTGGTGTAAGCATAAGTTAACAGTGCCAACCAACGCCTTTTATTTTAAGAATTATTATTAATGAATGGAAAGCCACCCATTATTTACTTTAAAAGACAAACACACAATAGTATTTCATTTTAATTGCTTTAACTGTAAATTCCAAGAGATAGCACCAGGTTTTTACCATGGCCACCATCTTGGTTGCCACGACCTGTAAACTTAAGTTTCTATCCTCAAACCTAACCTTACCAAAACATGCTAATGACTATCTCTGGGAATTAGCAGCTTAAAGTTATAGAAAATAAGTTTTATAAGTCAATAAGCCCGTGGTTCTAAACCTTCCTATCTAATGCTGCGACCCTTCAATACAGTTCATGTTGTGGTGACCAGCTCTTTCCGATGATATGCCCTTTGTCTGTGTCAGATGTATTTGAAATTTTGAGTTGGAATAACCTAGATTTATATTTTGCCGTCTTCCTAAAGCTGAGTGTAGGTCAACAACTTGCAAATATGAATGCCGCGTTAAATCAACAGTTCCTTGGACAGAGCAATGTTCCTGTCCCAAAAGAATGCGCACAATAAACAACAGTAGTGGCTTGTATTGCACAGAATACTATGGTAAGGACAAATGCTAATATTTTAAAGGAATTTTGAACACCAGTAAAGCTCAAGGTAATTGAAAGACAGACAGACTTCAATGCATTCATAATTTATTTAATAAATTTAGACAAAATTAAGCTAGAAATCTTTTTATATTGAAACCTTAACATATTCCCTTTATTCTCTTGCAATTTAATATATTCTCCTCTCGCACTTATCATATTTTTTTTTAAATGAATAAAAAATCTTCTCGTTTGTTTCTTTTAGAATTAAAAAAAACCTCGATTATTATTAAAAAGTCAAAGGGTTTTGTTCTTTGAAATAAAAACTTGTTTTTTTTGTTGTTTTGGTAAGTACTTCCATTTCTTTATGTTTTGGCTAAAAGATATTTTCATTTTATAGGGTGCAATACAAACTTACGAGACCCTTTAGGATATCTTTCAAGTCCAGGATATCCGATTGAATTTCCTGGCTGCTTCTGGAGAATAGTGACGGATCCTGGATCAGTTGTTGCTCTTAGGTAAATTAGCTTTAATTTATTCTTTCTCATTTTTATTACATCAATGTCATATTTCCAATGTCTGTAACAATCTTATATAAATAAGACTTATTAGATTTTTACTAGTCATTTTTTAAATCAATTTTTATTATTGCAGTAGTAATATTTTAAAACTGATAAATCCTTTTTTCTAAAGAGCAGTTTTATATTAATTACATAATTTTTATCCGACAGTTTTTTAAATTCATGGATTCGCTTCTTTTAAATGGAAAGAAACGAGAATATTTCAAACTTTTTTCGTTTAAAACATAAAATGATTTTCCAAAAAAACACAATGAAATATAAAATATGATGCTAGCAATATTGACATAGGCAGCTTTAAAATGCAATATTTTGTTAACAGATATATTTAAATTCTCTTGCTATAGATTCTCAATGGAAATAAATCCATGGTATGTCCAGTGTGGCTATAACTATGTATCAATAATAGATGAAAATGCTGTAGAACAATCAAAAATCCAAATGTGTCTTAACAGCAAAGGATGGATTCAAACTTCGTCAAATGTTATGCTTATAGTGTTCCATGGACATATATTGGAACAGGATGCATTTGTTTTTAGTGGGAGATACAATTCCCATTGTAAGTACTTTTTTGAAACTTCAAACAACTGATTATGATACATCATATTTATAATTTGTTGGCATAAGAAGTCTAACAATAAACCTTTTAATTATTAATTGAGGGGGGTAAATTACATTCATTTTAGCATAGTGTAGGTATCTACTAAAAACAAAATTAAATATTTAAATAAGTACTCCATTTGATGAAAAATATATTTCTGTCTACAGCTTGTTCCAACTTTACATGGGGGTCTAGAAAACTGCCATAAGAAATGTTCGTGTATAGGAGACAACACTAAATACTGTCAGAGTGAAACAGGAAAATGTATTTGCAAGAAAGGTTATTCCTCCCATGACTGTTCATTTGGAACTGTGCCACGTAAGTTCTTAAAAGCAGCCGTTTATGAAATAGTACAAAAGAAAATATTGCATTGTGAAAATAAATGCTTAGTCAGTTTAACTTAATTAAATTAAATTTAAATAAGTTTGATAAAATGAACAGAATATTGCACAGTCATTGAAGTTGTCAATCATTTAGCATATGTTCTGATTCCACCTCAGAAAGTTTTTTTTTAACATCTGTGCAAACATCAACTAGTCTCAAATTTGAATAATATTCATTCTCCAGCTTAATTGTAAAATATTTTTTAAAATAATTTTGGTTTTCTGTAAACTTATTTTCATATGAAACACATGTAAACATGTGAATTTACAAATATAATTGTTAGCTTCTAGAAATTAGTCTAGTTAAATTTCGTTTAAAACTTTTATGTTATGACACAATAATTTTAAAGTAGAACAAATCATTTTGATAGCGATTTAAAATGTAGAAGTTTTATTTAAATTGAAGGGGTTCACATACCAAAATTAAAGTAAAAATAGCATACTTCAAAATTGTGAAGAAAAAGTTGTTCATTGTGTGAGTATTACATTGAAATTAACATAGCTGACATATTACATTGGAACCCTCACTAAAATTCAATAACTTTGGTCCATACAATTTGATATTGCTAATGGGGTTGTATTGAAGCAGGGTTTTGTCATATTCCATGCGATTAGCTTTGGAATTTAAAAAAAAAAAGTAGGAAGACAGCTGATCACACTTAAAAAGAAAGGATCTTTTTGGTATTTTAGTACGAGTATGTGTTCGTGTCACAGAACAGTTAAGGAGGGGGGCTCCGGTCCTGACTTATCACAAACTGTATTGATGTAGTAGTGTTCAGTACAAGACCGCTCCTCTCTGTGATTTATATTGTGGGTATCTAGGCGTTGGGACAGACAAAGCACAACGTAGACTTGAACAAAATCCAACAACTTAAACTCCAGGTGTCCAATGATAAAATAGACTATATTTATTACTCAAATAGAAAGGTCTTCTATAGTCTTCACTAACTGTCAGCTATATATATGAATTTCTAAAGCTATGAATGTTGACTGTTTCGTCTCAAATATTTCTTTGTTCTTCTAGTCAACTGTTGTCTCCTGAACTCTAGCAACTATTCTCTATGAACTGCTCTCTCAGCTCTTCTCTAGGTACCTCAACTAACTCCTTGTCATGAAAAGTTTTATCTTATATGTTATTCTTTACTTTCGTAGGTGGCCCAGGAATGTTATCTATAAACACACTGTTGCCCCTAATTTCCGGTCAATTAGACCTTCCGGTTGTTAACCCCAAAATTATCAAAGTCGTACAGGCCCGAACATATTATCGAAAGAAACAACCCCCTCTATCTTAAGATTAAGAGTCTATTAACATTAACTTCACCCCCTTAACAATGCCTTCCCTAAAATAACAACTTCTGCCTATCTTATAAGGAACCTTAACAACAACGGAGCTCTGTCCTGAACCCCAACACCAGTCATTTGTGACAGTTCGAGTTGAATTAATATTATTGGATCTTTTTATTGTGTTAAGCAATATCTTTTTTCTTCACATTCTTTGAATAACAAAAATATTTATGTGCAAATGAATATACCACTACATATCCGAATTTTTTTATAGCTAGTCACATTATAGTAGGGTTTCACTGTATTTCTAAATATTGCAGCCACACCTTGTGAAACTTTGCATGAAAGATCAGGTTTGATATGGTTACGGAAGAATAGGAATTCAAATGATACTATTTCTTGTTGGTTATTACATGGTGTTGGTATATCAATAAACAATTACAGGTAAGCACTCTAATATAATTTCTTAAATGCTGAAAATTACTTAAAGGCTGAAACTTTTCAATGTGGTTAATTACTTTTTATGGTTACTCACATATTAAAGAAAATAATATTGATAACTCCAATATACAATATATCATAATTAAAATTTTCATCATGTTTTTAAACTTCCATATATGTACAAAATAAACATTTTCAATTGTGTAATTAGTAATCACCATCCCCCAAAATAAAAACAATTTAATTTATGAAAGAATAAAAGAAAAAGCACATTAGTCTTTTCAGAGGCAAAGCACTGAATTTCTAATATTGTAAATTATGTTTTTGTAATAACTAGTATTGTAAATTGTAGATTTTTATATTAAGAATAAAAGTAATTTTTATCGGACACTGGGATGAAACAGGACATGTAAAGAATACTTATGAAGGTCTCCTAGAGCATATTTAGTTTAAATTTTGAGCTTTTATTCCACTTGATTCTATTGTATTGCATTTCTAATACATTTTAAAGCTCTACTCAGGAGATTTGATTTATTAATAAAATTATCAGAAAGCTTTTACTGGATAGGAATAATGTCAATAAATCAATGCATAACACATAGTAATCACCATGAACATTTTAAATCACTTTTTCATTTCTTTCATACACTCATTCAATGTTTCAAATGTTTTTATTTTCAATCTCAAATATACATTCTGAATGTTGTGGGAATCTAAAGAAATTTCTTCATTTGTTTACCTTATTTCTTTTATAGTAACCAGTATTTTGGTTCTGATGGCTCAATTATAAAGAAACCTCCACTACTTGTATATGATGGCAATAGTAATGCTTCGCCCCTACTTCTGGGACATACAGATAGGTTTTTTAAAGTTTTGAAAGCCACTGGGAGCGAAATATACTTAGAGTTGGAAGAGTCTTTTGATCGCTCTAAGGATCTTTATTTAAATTACACGACACAGTGTAAGTTTATTTGTTACATATGCAGAGTAAATATATTTACACCGTGATAAGCTCATTTATAATTATGTTGTTCTTAAGTACTTGTGTAATACAATAACTTTCATTGAAAAGAAAATAATTAATTTCTGACCATGTTTTAACCAAAAAAAATCAAAATGAGTATTAGAATGTAATGCAGACATATACACTGCATACACTGCAGAGCGGTTGACTTTGAGGGTTTTGGCATAGTATGATTCTTTCTTTTACCATTTGTGTGCCAACATCTTTCAGAAATATTTATTTTTAGCAATTGAGTAAAAAAAAAATTCACCTTGTTTCCCAAATTTAAATACAGTTCCTATTTCAGAAACTAAAGGGTGACCCCAACACCCACACCCCCACCCCCCTTTTAAATTGCCTACATGTTAGGTGTTAAACCTATGTTTTAACACATTGCTCTATAATTCTAAACAAACCGTTAATAATTTTATGTTATTAAAGTTTGTTGTTAAAAAATGTTTATGACCAATAATAATAATATAGCCATTATTATCTTAGCATTTTATTGATCTAACTCTTAATGTCCTTTTATTGATCTAACTCAAACTATCTTCAGCATCTGTTTGTGGGGGCACACTGATTTCATCTTTTGGGCACATATCAAGTCCACAATACCCTCAAAAATATCCAGACTATTCTGACTGCAGATGGACAATTGTTGTTCATGAAAACCAATTTATTTCTTTAAGGTATTTCAACTATATATTTTGGCTAAGATTTGTGTTTTGTTTTGTTGCTGTCTTTATAATGGGAAGAGATTTCTTTAGATAAATTTAAAACTAATATTAAAAAATAAAAACAATTATGAAATAAATACATTTTAAAACACATCTTTTCATTATATCTTATCTTTAAATGCTCAGACTTCTTAATTATTGTCAATTAACCTTCTAGAAAAAACCCACCCCACAGACCAAACAGAATTTGTTGTGATTGATAAAGGATGAATAAATATTAAGAATGATCTATCAGTGTTTGAGATATACCTGGCAAGGAAAGGGTCAGAGTTTTTCAAGCAATAGTTATTGTAGTTTGTCCCTACCTACTAGAATAACTATAAATAATACAATTTAAAACTCTTTAGTCAACTGCTTCTGCAATCTTAGTTACATAATTTAAATTAATTTAGATGAGCTCACATCACCTAGCTTGATTACAGTTGCAAACACATTGTTTTGCTTGTCTTTGCAAGGATAACTGACTTGAAATTGGAGCAGCAAGTCAACTGTGACAATGACTACCTTGAAGTATATGATGGAAGCAGCAACACAGCAGTTAGGATAGGACAGTTCTGTCATAACACTGTGCCCATAATTATTAATTCAACTTTTAATTTTATGTACATAGTGTTCCATAGTGATAGCTCAATTGCAGAACGAGGATTTCAGGCTGATTTCAAGGCTGTGGGTGAGAATTGTCATAATAGATTCCAGAATTTTTTTTCAGCACAATTGATAACTAGATTGAATGCTGCCTAAAGACACAGCAAAATTTTTAAAATCTGTCCTCTTGTTGAGATGGGTGCCACATGTTCTGTATTCCTCTTGTACAAATTAACACGCCTAGCAGATAATAATCGGATTAAATATCTACACCATGGTAGATTCTTATATACTGCAATGCAGTTCACATCAAAGCACCAATTCAATCAATGACCTCAATTCTGTTTGGAACCAACCAGGTTTGACTCTGTCTCATTCACTGTAATCTCCTAGTGAGAATCAGGTGTTTGCCATGCACACATTACTTATGAAGTAAAACAGTAGAAAATTTTCTCCATTGCTAATTATGGCTCCAGCCACACCTGTTGCATGAGTGCATATCTCCCATTAGAATAAAATAGTTTCTGATGTGTTTTCATAACACTCATTGTCAATAAACTCAAAATGATTGACCAAAATATGGAGAAATGCCCAACATTGACTGAAAAATACCAGGAAATTTGGGGACATAATAGAACATAACAGCTGATACAAATGCAGGCAGTAATTTTAATGAATGCATACTGTTATTTAACACACAAAATATTGTGCATCAACACAAAAAAATTATCTTAAAAAGTACACATTTTAAAAGTTGAGTTTGGGTTTTTGGCTACAACATACAAAATTTCCTCTTAAATGATGTATTGTAATTTCAACAGCATGTCCCCAACATTGGGCTAAAGGATGCATTCCCTCCTGTTCATGTGCAAAACACAAGACTTTATACTGTGATATAAACAAAGGTGAATGTGTATGCAAACCTGGATGGACTGGCTATAACTGCGAAATGGAAGTTGACCTTTGTTCTTCTAACTCTTGTCCTGCCAACACTACATGTGAAACTGAAGATGGGATTTTATCATGTCGCTGTAAGTAATTCAATTAAAACAATCATTTTTTTTAAAAATTTCCTAAATTGAGATATTCCAAAAATTATTGACAGCTTCTTTCACATGAGATAACTATCATATAAAAGGCCTCAAATCAATAAATATGTTACTTGGAAAATGAGTTTATCCATATCAGTATATATTATAAAATAAGTATAACCATAAATTAAAAAAAGAACCACTACTTTTCTAAAATAGGGCAATGCTTAAAATATATGAGGTGAATAGAGGTTGAACCTGCATAACTATTCTCTTAATAATAATTATTATTCCCAGCCTGTAACGTTTACATTTCATCTGAAAGTGGCTACATATGGAGTCCAGTTAATAAAGACTTTTCATATAGAGGTTATTCAGCTAAGTTCTGCTTTTGGACAATCTTTGGACCGGCTAATTCAGTTGTCACATTAAGGTAAGCTTTTTAACACTTCTTTTTTTCATAGTATCCTAAATGAAATAATCATTTAGAATGGCTTTCAAAAGCATTTTAAATAAATTATTAAAATTTTATTCAAAACAATTGCCTGTAGTATAATATTTAACCAACCGTTTGACTTGCTCCTAAACTCTATATTATTGAAAATCTTTTAGAAAAATACACAATTCTTATACCTAAAGAATTTCTTGACCAATTTTCATGTCTTTTCAACAGTCTTGTGATTTTTAACGTTATTTAATAAAAATTCACTCACACCTGTACATGAATTGTATTTTGTGAAAAATGGAAAGATAATTTTTTTTAAAAAGAAAATCTTAACCAATCATTGTTCACATGCCAAAACTGTATTTTTTGGAAAGGAAAAAATGATGGCTCTGCTCTATTTTTAAAGATTAATTTTTCACATTAGGTTTTGAGATAATGTTATCTTCATGAAAATGTTCCCATTCTCTTTCTTTTGCACTTGAATTGTATGTTAATGAAATGTTTACAATTTTTAATATAAATATATTGTAATCCTCATAAATATATGGTCACCCTTATCCTCACCCCTGAAATGTATCTGATAAAATGTGTTTATCTCTATGTCCTTAGTTTCAAAGAAAATCTTATCCACCGTTTTCCCCTTTCAAATTTTTTTCAGTTTCGAGGTATGATTATTATAAAACGTGTTCTATTGCCGATATTGCAATAACATGGTTAACTATTTCTGCAGTGGATGGCCTGCCGCTATCACTTGAGTAATTGATTCATTCACTCCCCAAACTTATCTGTTCTCTCTCTCATCAATGAAGTGGCAACGTCCAACGAATTATTTATTCAGTACTTTATTACACAAAATAGATGAGTCGAATAATAAATCTTGCCATGAGTATATCCTAGTGACAATGATAGGATGCAATGAATTAATACATATACGTTCCACAATATTCCATCAGATAATACTTTCCTAATCCATACGAGAGAAATTCAATATGTCTCCCCACAACATAAAAATCACTCTCGCTCTACTTAAGCGTGTAATATATCTACACCCTAAAAGAGACTAGTTCACTTCATTTCTTGTGATTCACATTGACATTGTTATGATAAAATTACTACGCCTGATAAAATTACTACGCCATCATGTAATAAGGATGAATATTAGGGTCATGTGAAAAATCACAGCCAACCTGGTCTGTTACAATTATACTTATGTAAATGTGCCCACATTATGTAAATGTGCCCACAATGTGTCAATGCCCTTGAACTGCATTTTCAGACATTGGTTTATAGGAGTATAATGTTTTTGTTTTTGCTCTATTGAACAGAGCATAATGGAGTGACATTGGCTTATTCTGACATAAATATACTTTTCTAGATTTCAGGAGTTCAATTTTCCAAATCAAGTTGTTCGGGTCATTTGGAATGTCATGGTGTATGATGGTGACTCTACAGATAGCACTCTGCTTGGGAAATACATTGAGGAGGGTGCTTCAGGCATTGTCAGATCAACTAACAATACAATGCATGTTGTTTTACAATATGAAGGCCATGAAGGAAATGGTTTCATTGCATCATTTTCTACCCATGGTGAGTAAGATAAATAACAATAGTTCATTGGTGCATATCAACCTCACTTTTATGTTAACAGTATGAATGTATCTTTTTTTTTGTTTCTTGTAAATGAACCGTTGTTATAACAACTTATTATTGTCATTATTGGCCATTACCAATATATAATTTTTCCTTGCTCCTAAGTGGTCTGCCAAATACCCCAGGGATATGAGTACCAAATGTTGGCAAAAACTACTAGGCTTATCATAGCAAGCCAAAAGTTGTAACAAAGCTTATTCTAAATGAATATTTTAACTTTATATTTGGAACTACCACATTGCATAATGTTTCACCAGTGTTCTTTTTAAGCATTTCATTTGACTAACAGAAATATCAAAATTCAATTCAAATAACACAAGTGATGATAGTATAGATCCATAGGAAAGTCAGTTGGTGGTCTACAGCCAAATAACACAAGTGATAGCATAGCTCCATAGGGAAGTCAGTTGGTCTACAGCTAAAAATGGGTCATTCTACATTATTGCTATTTTAAAAAAAATATCTACTTGTACAAACAGGGGTTTCTTGTTAAATTGTAGATGAGGTATTTCTTTGTAGAATATATTCCTTGCATCCAATAGGTTAGGACAAATAATATATGCATGGCAGAAATTTAAAACTCAAAATGTCTGGATTCCACCCATGGGATACAGTAAAGGTTAAAAAAAATTTAATAAAAAAATACCTGTAGCACAAAAAGGGTTTTTGTAATGCAAACAGTAAAGAGATTGTAACTGTGTATTCAAACTTCAGCTTGTAATCCTTTCACCTATGGGCAAACATGTGAAAACCAATGTGATTGTGAAACTAACAACACCCAACACTGTGATCATTTGACTGGCTTGTGTATCTGCAAGGAGCCATGGCTTGGACATAAATGTACTGAAAAGAAAGATCCATGCCTCCTACAGGACATTACATTTAAATGTCCCGAGGATCAGGTGTGCACAAATAATGATGACGTGCACAGTTGTGTGTGTCGACAAGGATACGTGATGAATAGCAATCAACAGTGTGAAGGTAATATATGTTATAAATTCACACTTTTAAAAACATTTAATCTTGTTTCTACATTTAATTTTAAATTCATTTTTGCCATCTCTGCTTGATGCTTTATCATTCCCATTCAAAATTCAGATCCTGGGTAGATTTTAGGTAAAAAAAAAATATGCATGCAAATAACTATAATTTGTATTTTTATATTTATTTTAATTTAAGCTGTATTGTTAGTTACATAAAATTATGTCTCTTAAAAAGTTTTAATTGCACATTTTCTTAAAGTACAACGTGCCTGCATAAGGAACCTTGGACTGTGTTCCCATTATTGTATCATCAATGCTGTTGGGAAAGAAGAATGCACTTGTCCACACAACATGGTGCTTGGCGTAGACAAATTTTCATGTGTAGGTGAGTGTACAAGAGTTTTGAAATTTATTTTCTAAAAATGAGTTATTTAAAATAATTGGTATTTTATAGTTGAAAGCTTTGGATAGGCTTTTAATCTTGTATTTAATCATTTCATGTACATTTTCATGTTGACAAGGCGACAAGGGGAGTGTGATATTTTAAATTAATTACAAAGAAAGGTAAAAAAAATTGGTGTTGTAGAATATATTCCTTGCATCTTTCACGCTTATGAACCAAACGAAATAGTTATTTTTTAAATGTACTAGTATAAGAACATTTACATTTGAAATAATATAAAAATGGGTCACTTAAAAATTAATTTAATTAATTTTTAATTGTGCAATTTGCTTTATTATGTAGAAGGTACATTTAAAAAATCAGAAATTTAAAAAAAAATTAATTTGAGGCCCCCTGTAAAAATGTCAATTCCACTGACATTTTCCTACATTTCTAGCTGCAATACTCCCTAAGTGGTGGGATGCCTAGTCTTAAGTAATACCCCTGTGATCTCGCTTTCATACCTTAAAATTATAGTAAGCGTATGTATAAAAGTTTAAATATATTTAATATAAAAAATAAGAATGAAAATTTGTTTTTAACTGTCTAAACCTATTCACATAGGTAAATTTTTTAAAATGGCATTTTGCAATTTAATCAAAGATCAATGGCTTTCCATTTCCAGTAAATATAAATTGCTTTAGTGGAATTTGGGTTTTTTGGTCACATGATCTAACCAAAATGTTTTTAAAATTCACTGATCATGGCAAGAGAAAACTTTCAGAAGATGAGTTACAAAGTTGGTCCAAAACATGGTTTCATAGTACAGTAAGTGGCATCATAAATCAATTTTCAAAGGCAAATCTCTAAAAGAAATTGTAATTATGAATAAATTTATTTTTGTAATATTTTACAGTTCCATTCTACCCAAATGGTCCTGATGCAAATGATTTTGACTTATTGAGAAATGAGACGGAGAAGTGTAATAAAATAATGTGTGAAAAAGTTAACTTAGAACTTGCCGTGCCTCTATGTAAGTATACATTGTTTATTTTTTAGACATTGTTTTTGCTAATAAAACAACTAATTACATGTTTTTATTAAGAACCAAAACCAAAGTTATAGACACAAAACTGCTGGTTTTGCTCATGAGGTGAAGTGAATGAATTTGCCATTTTGGACAAATGGTGTTATAATGCACAAGACCCATTGTTACATAAATAATCCATATGATGTTATGAAAGAATTTTCATTCACAATTTATAATTCAGTATAAAACTACATCAACATTATAGGATTAAAGTGTAACCAAAGGTACTTTTTTACTTCTTATTTTAAACCTAATGCATTCTTATCACCTTGGTTACAGTAGCCATTTGGGCTTTTGGCTTTCAGCTTAATACTACTAATATAGCTTTTATTTGTTATAGGTTATGTCAAATGGAGTTGTTTCTTTCGGTGCACCTGTCCTCCAAAAAGAACCAAGTATTGCAACAGCAACTGCGCAACAAATTAATCTGATTGCACCATTTTGGACAAAAATAAACTCACAAAGAGGCTCCATTTCTTACAATGTTTACAAGAGATGTGGTGAAGAATTACACAGCTTTAAGTCTGACAGTCATAAGCAAGTTTTCTCCAGAGCTGCCCAAGACATTAAGACTTTATTTCATCTGGGTGACTTTGATGTCCAGATGTTATTAGTGTTTACATGGAGAGATCTTAGTCCAGAAGTCAGTGAGGTATGTACAATTTTCTTTATATCTGCGCATGGTTTCCATACTGTTTCATTTTATTTTATTGATCAACTATTTAGAAAGTTAACATATTTTTTTTGGAACAATTAATTGACATCCAAGCAGTGCCAAGAAAGTTGACATAAAAACAGAAATACCATTATCCTTAGAGTCGTGGTTTCAACGTTTATATAGTTTTGAATTACAACATAAGCGTTTTACTTTATAATTCCCTTTAAAAAAAACAGAATATAATATGAAGCGTGAAATTCTGCGCTAAATGATTTCATTTCCTTCTGGTTCAATGATTTAAACATTATATAAGTTGGATTGTTTAGGTTTTAGGAAGTATTTAAAAAAAATTCTTGCTTCCATTTGTTGTATTTTTACTTGTTTGTTTCTTTTTTATTGAAAAATGTCCAATATATCAAATTGTTATTACATTCTTATTATTATTGACATTAACCCAGTGTATTTTAACCGGGTGCTAGCCAGGGGTTCCACCAGTGGCTAGTCTGGCATTACTTGCACTGTGCTATAACTAGTAGTTTTTTATCCCCGTGGTGTTGCCGTTGTCCTAATGAGCGTGTAACGTTTGAAATAATTTTCACAACACTGTTTTTTTGCACAAACATGGACCGATTTATTAAGAAGAAAAAATAAGACGATGTAACAGCTAATGGCGCAAACCAAAACTCGACCGGAGCAGCTGACTGAAGCTACAGCTTTTATGGCATCATATGAGCCAAAAATTGCGGTTGTTGATACAAATCTTAAAGTTTGTCAGACTGACAATTACTTAGCTATGGGATTCACTTTGGCAGGAGACCCATTTGGCATAGCACAAACCCTTCTGTCATTGCATGGATCTCCGTGAGCAATCTAAACGCTCCAAAGGATTCCATTCTAATAAAAAGTTTCAAAAAATACTGCATTAAACAATCAGGGATAGAGAAATTCTACATATTATAAGAACTGGCTATCATCACATAAATATATATAGTTTTATATTCAAAGTATTATTATCTAAAGATGTCTTAGTTTCTGTATTGGTTGAGGAGCCAACTTTTGAAAGTCAGTTGCAAGAATCTCTCAAACATAAATAAATCAATGACTCAGCCCTGATTCCACATGTTTTTTGCTTGTTCTGGATTCACCAGGTAGCTGTTTCCTATTCCTGAATAATTACAACACTTTGTGTTTGATTTTACACAAAGAGAGCCCACGAAATTAAAAATTAAATTTTTTTTGTGCAACTACTGTAACAAATTTGAAAAAAAACTTCCTCTTTCTTTGTTAGTTCTGAAGATGTTGATCATTGAAACACTTCTTTATCTGTGAAATTTTATATCAGAGTTGGGTTTGTGTTATGCTATTTTCTCTTGCCTTTATAACCAGTTCCTCATACTAATTAAGATTTAATTCTGATTACTTAATTTGTAATATATTTTTATTTTAAATATTGACATACTTTATATTAACATTTTGTTTAGCCTTTTGAGCTTTTGGTGTTAAATATATATTACTATATTTTATAAAATTATTTTTAAACTATTTTTTTTACCACTTAGGATAATTGGAGAATCACATTCTGCATTTCATAAATTTGTGGTTTAATCTGAATTAAATTACTAAAAGAAAATTGTGAATTTGCCCAGGAATTTTGAGTACTTTCACTAAACTTTTGAGGAACTTTAAAAATAGTAAAAATGAAAATATCCATTGATTCTATATCAACTTTTTATTTTCTGTAAGAATGAATGTCAAATTATATATTAATTACACATTATGTAATAAATACTGAAACAGTTGGAGGCTTGCATTTATTTTTCTGAATAAAATAGTTTTTAAATTTTTTAAATTTTACTTTTCCCTCATTTAAAGGGAAATGAGACAACTTCATTTCAATTGATTTTTGTATCAGGCTACAAAAATGGAGCTGAATTAGCTAAAAACAGTTATGACAGTAAGTAGGCCTATATATTTTAACTTTATAAGTGATTGATATCTATTTCGTACTTGTATTTTACTGCTTGAATTTAAATTGTTTGTATTCCATAGATATAATTTTTTATTCCATGGGAAAATTTCAAAAAAATCTAAGTGAAACATAAATACCTATCATTAAGAGGTAATAAAATGTGTCAAGGATTAGTTTATAATTTCATGTAAGTGCAGCAATGTGAACATTTACATTTTTCCTAGACAAACTCTTACTTCCTCTTTAGGACCAAGGTGTAAATTTGAATTTTAACACTTTCTAATTTTGTAGTAGTAGTATGTTTGAGAATATTTTTATCAAAATGCCTATTAAATTATTTTGAACCTTATTGTAAAAGTCATTGATCATCTTTGAAATAAAAAATCTGAAATTGAACCCCTAGAAAATACTTATCTAGAAGTGTATTAAATTTTGAAAGTAGCTAATAGTTGCAAATTTTTTCCTCAGGTGCAGAAAGTGCATATGCCTTAATGATTTACAGAAAAGATCAAATGAATTGGATTGACAAAAGGGATCGCGTGATTCAATTTGGCTACACCATCTCTGGAGGAGGATGCATCAATATGACTTCAGATACAGATAACCTTATTCACACTCTTCCTGAACAGGCTTTGGAAGACACGGGTAATCTAATTGTTACATGTGGAGGGATTGACAAAGTCTGTTCCAATGGGACGACACCAACTGGGATATGAAACTAAATTGGATTCTTATTAAGTGCGTTACTTGTATACATATGTTCTGTCAAATTTCAATCACAGCCCTCATTGCTAAATATGACATTTTATAAAGGATTTATACCTAAAACCTTGTTGATTTTAGGGTTTGTTTAGTTAAATCTTTTTATACTAGAATAAATGACCCGATATCTGGATAGTAATGGTAGGTCCTTTGTAATTGTTTCTACCTGCTATTGCAAAACTTCAGCATAATTCATAACTTTAAAAAGAAGTATCTATGTAATGATATTTACGTTTCTAACATCAAGTTTTGAGAAGTATTTATCTGCTACATATAATTTATTTATAATTAAACTACATTTTCCCCTCTAAACATGACCTTAAATTACCCAATATAAATTATATCACATTTTCACTAAAGAAGTTAATTGAGGGATGATTTCTATGCTAGAGAATTACTTAAGATTTTCCCCTTTTCGTGCCCTTGAATTACAACTTTTTTCTCTAAAAATTGAAAAAAATATAATCTCAAATTTACACGCAAACTCTATGTACGATAAAAAAATATTTTTATATTAAAGGAATTTGATATATTTCTATCTTCATAAAAATTGTAAACACACTTTGCCTTGTCTTTTTTAAATCATGCATTATCAGAAAATCGTAAAACAAAGAATTCGTTTATCTAAAGAAGAATCTCGCAACCGTTTTTCACGTCTATAACAGACTTGAGTGTCTTTTATTAAAACTGTTAATCTCATAAAAATATACACCCACTTTACTTTTCGCAAAGTAAAAACAAAAATATTTTTTCATTTTTTAAAAAGAAAATATTAACCCATCTCAATTTTTCAAAATTAAATTTTCAAGTGTGTAAAATGATTGGGTTTTGATATTTATGGGTATACTTTAATAAATGTACTACCGTTTAGTTAACGCCACTGATTTTCCAAATTGGTAAAATGTTTATTTTTAAAAAGAGAATGTAACATCACTTTTTTCACAAATATAATACCAATTGATTTTAATATATTGTCCTCCATGTTAAAATGTACACATTGTATCCTACCTCCGATAGGTATGTAGGCCTACCCAAGGTTAATTATTTATCAAATTCATTCATTTATTTTGAAGAGAATCTTGTGCTGCCCGGGGCAAAATCAACATACCCATATTTGTAAAAAGAGAATGTAACATCGCTTTTTTCACAAATGTAATAACATAGGATTTAAATATGTCATCCAAGTAAATTTGTACACATCCTAATTCTTATCTCCGATATGTATGTAACCAAGAAGGTTAATAATTTATCAAATTCATTCTTTATTTCCTTATTTTAAAAATATCTTGTACTGCCTGGGGAAAAAAAGACAACAAACACACTCCCCCCCCTCCCCCCTTGAAATAAAATTAAAATCTTTTATTGGATTGTAGTCCCTTCCATACAAAAACTAACAATTTGCACTTCATATGGTTTGTTCTTATTTGGATGAGTTATAAGTAGATTATTTAATGCTATGACTATGGAATTTCACTGCACTGATTGACTTAAATGACATTTTCTTATTAGAAATATATTTAAAGGTTAATTTTTATTACTTATAA